GACCTTACCCTCTCTCCCACCGCCAGCATCAAGCCACCGCCTAACAGATCGGTCGCCAGGTGTAGGATGGACGAAGTGGCTGACAAGCCGGCGAACCCGTCTGCGTGCCCCACAGGACGACCTGGCCCCCTTGACACACGCACAACAGGATTTTCGCAACCAGGGGGATTAGAAGGCGTCGTTGTCGTTTGAATCTCACGCCACCCATCAGCCACTTCACATACAACATGCAATGTGCTGACGCTTGAGGTGTCCCAATGTACAACAACGTTGTCAAGGCAAGACACATCACTCTTCCCATAAGACCCAAATAGATGACTCTGTTTGGGGTTTCAGAGGGCGGGGAGAGAGTTCGCTGGTGAACCAACTACCTGGTCGGATAAATGCTTTTCCCTTTCATACCTTACTCCAATGGCAATACCTAACAACCAGATAGAGGAGGAAGGTGCGCATAGCATCCAAAAGCGTTTCACTAGATAATATATTTTCTGTAACTAGAATCCGGTCCAGCGAGATTTGTTTTAGGGAAACAGGTAGCACCCTTATTGCATGTGGCCTAACGCTAATTTTCAGGTTTGGGGGCTTAGGACATATAAAAAGGAATCCAACGGAATTTAACGTAAGACCACCTGTACTACGGTGAACCCTATTTCCATACCCAACCCTACCGAGCATTACTAGTGGACATTAATTTTAACTCTCATATCATCTGCGCTGCTTTTTATAAACGTGTACTGAATCGGTAAGTCGTCATGAACTTGCCAGCAAGTTTGAATTGGGGCTTAAAAATTAAAAATTAACACCCGCACTGCATTGTCTGCTAGGTTTGCTGTTGTGACCATGGAGTGAGTCCTCTTCGAATGCGTAGCCTGCGTTTCAGAACCCCTCCTCCTGCGAAAGTTGAAAATCCACCAAACAAAGCCGTGTTTTTATATGGCTAATTTTCATTTATTTTAAACCCCTATAAACCTCTCAAATTCAGTTAAATCTTTTCCCACAAAGTTGCACAGCACAAACCCTTTATATTCTCTTAAATATTAGGTAAGATTCCTTAAAATTTTATGCATTAATAGACTGTTGATATACTGCGCATAAATATGCTCATCGTATGTCGTTGAATAATTTTATTTAACACATAACACAACCATCCAAGAATAGCGTCTCGTGTATGAACTCAACTGGGCAAACCATCCGATGAAGACTGTACCAAAAATAATGAGACTTACTGCCCTCAGAAATCCACAATACATGTATGCTTGTATATGAAATCCGCGAGAGGGTGAAGCCGCAGAAGCCGAAGCGTAATATATCGAGAGATAACTGTATTCTTACCGAAGTATCGAGGACCTCACCATATCATGGGCAACACAAGTATTATCATAATGGCCATCGTCGTCGCCATCATCATCATCATCATCATTAACAACAACGGTAGCAATATCGACAGCAATACTGTAGGTGCATGGGAAGGGAGAAAATAAATGCAGTCTCGTTGACCGAACATCCCGTCAGCTGCTGGCGCGGGGACGGGGGACACGACATTAGAATTAGAGTTAGTTTTCTAAAGTATTTTGGTGGGACGAAGTCTGGACGAAGTCTGATCCAGATATATATTACTACAAAGACCGAGGCTGCCATTTCTGTCTTGTTAATCGTTTTCAGTCAGTCTTGACTAACCCCGGGTCTGCATGACCTGCGATTCGCATCTAGGCTCTTTGATGAACCAACGTTAAGTATGCCAATGCTTTACCCCTGAGCCCCGAGCTCGACACCCTGCTGCTTGTGACCAGGTTTATAAAATACTAGTGGAAAGGTGTTCACTGATGGGACCTGCTGGTCCCACTATGGGTCCAAAGTTCAACGAGCCCATGGATCATTGGTGAAAGTTTGGACTAGTCCGTGAAATCGCCTCCTCTTCTTTTTCTCATTTGTAGGGGAAGGATGATGTATGACATGCTTTCTCTGCACTTCGAATCCTCACTCATATATATGCATATAGCAGTGTACTTTTAATCCACAAGTTGTGAATTCGAGCCTCGGGTGACGCAAGCCCTGCGGATGGGTATAGTTGGTTGAGCACGGCTAAAATTCAGAAAGGGCCGCTTCAGTCTCCCTGGTCTTTGCCGACGATGAACTGCTGCATATGCATGTATGGCAGAATGAAATTGTAGGCAAACGCATGGGGGACTGGAATGGTCATTTTGGGTTATTGAAAGTAATCAGTCAGCCATAGTTAACCACAGATTTAGCGAAGGGACTAGCATTCCTACACGCAGTGCAATCGGCCAATACATGCATCAGTACACAGGTATAGGGGTACGAAGGTGTTCAGAGCAATTGGAGATGGAAACGACTAACCCCGAAAAAGCAACGAACTGCACTCAACGTCTACTGGCGCAATATTTAATCAGACAGAAAGTCTTTTGTTCGGTTTGGTTAAAAGTCAGCTGATTTTTACGCAGCCCACAGGTCTGACGACGACTGGTAGGACCATTTTCGAAAGTTCATACATGTAACCTTCTTTAGATAACTATTTTCTAATTAAAAAAAAGACGCTGTATTCGATTCAGCTTTTTAATTTTGTGAATTCTGAAGGCATAATTTCCAAGAAAGTCAGGGTTGCTACTGACGCTTTTTGTCTCTTGCAGTAGAATCAGTTCGGCTGCAATATTTTTGCGAAGGTCTTTGAATCAACCAAAACTGATTCTGCAAGTTCCACTTCCACTAAGCACGACCAGCATCCGACACCTTTAAATGGCGGCCTTGTCTGCGCCACCAGCCGACATAACAACGGCGTCATCAGAAATCACTAGCATAAGTCTTCCTGAGTCTTCCAGAACGGAATTTCACTGATAAACCTCGGAGTTCCGTGTAAACGGTGGCGTATCTACTCATTTACCATACTCCCAAGATACATATTAGCTAAAAGCCGCATGTTTCGCTGATCTTGACCCACTGAAAAAGGTTCGGCTCATTAGTAGGTCCCTCAGCGTCCTCTCGCGTGTTTTCTGGTACATAAACTCAATTTTCCTTATTGCCCTATTCGATTTTCGAGGAGATTACTGTGTGTTCATACTGCAGTAGCTGGTAGATCATTTTTTAGCACTGCGACCGATCAGCTAGGCGGTGGGCTGTTGCTGGTGATGAAGGAGAGGGTGAGGTCGACCCTCAGCGCACTTTTTCTCCTCACTAGAAACAATCTGATGCGCTTGAAGTTATGACGCTGCGCTAAAAGCTGTGTCTTGGAGGGTTGCCAACTGACGGGATAACACGGGCACCACATTCGGCCCAGGGTGTGTCTTGATGTGTGTAGTGGCTTCCTGCGGGCTGAGAGTCTGGCTCAATGGCTCTTTCTTAATGTGGACTTTATGGCGCTACCACGCGGTAGTCTACCTACCAAGGTAATGTTGTTGTGGCGCGTGTTGAGGCGTGTTTCGCGCACATCGCTTGCGCCCTCCCCCATCTCCAGTCTTCTCGACTTTTGTCTTGACACTGGTTTTGGGTGTGCGAATGGGAATGGGAATGGTCAGAGTGTGGGGTAGATCCGACGAGTCTATTTCCGCTGTAATCCAGCCGCAGTCACCGCGTTGTTTCAGCTTGCTGAAGCTCGTAGTAGACATCGTCAAGAGCGACGGTCAACCTGTCGTGTTGGTGGATCTCAACGCAAATATTCACGTCAGCTTTCGGACCAAGCCCGAAAAAGCTTTGCTCTGAAGGATTTACTCTAAGTTCAAGCATTGATTTCCCCGGAAATTTAAAAAAAAACACTGAGGTGGCATTTATTTCAATCAGTTTCCTCTGTAAAACAGCGTCATGTTCACACCGCCGAGTAAGTGCCGTCATTTTACACTTGAAAATTGTTTAACCGCGAACTCAAAATGTGATCTAGTTAAAGGATCGGAAATGGTTTCTGCAGCTTTTCTGAATTTGCCTAGCGCCATTGCTAAAACTTGACCCAGTACATTCCGACAAAATTAGAAGGCACAGTTTTCAACAAGGTTTATATCCAGATGGATTAGGGAATGCTGGGTGGGCGACTAGTACCTAAAAAAAACCCTCCTATTAACATGCATCTCTGGAGAATCTGCGAACCATGAATCTGAGCTTCTATTCAGGAGGCTTTTGGGGAATCTGATGAAGTAATTTGTCCTGAAGATAAAATCCATTTTTCTTATACAACAGCGGTGACTCTTTTTGAATTATTAGGCGTTTTGATAGATTTAAATTACTCATTTGACCTATTTAAGAAAACCTCGGCGGCTGCGGTGAAATTC